ATCAGGCAGTTATTAAGCCTTTTAATCTCTAGCCATAATCTCTAGCTGGAACACTGCTGGGCCAGACCAGAATGAAAGCAGGCGGCCAGCTGAGTTCCATTGCAACTCCACTGAGGTATTGCTAGGGATGAACTTAACTCTCGCGTTAAGACTGGAGAGAAACTTAAGCTAACGGTGCTCCCCAGGGACACCCTTGTTGAGCAGCAGAGCTCCAGGCTTTGCAGGCCAACTGCAGAAAGGGACCAGGAATATGACTAGCAGATGCAACTTCACATATTCATATTTACTTCTCATCTTTCCACTGAAAGTTTGATACATGTTTGTGCCCTTAACACTCAGCCTCAAGCCCCTACTTCAGACTTAGTCCTGAGTTTGTTCATAAAGCAAAATATGTTTGGAAGGTTTTAGAATCAGGACATGAACATGAAATACCGCTCTTGCCCTTCCATTCTAGTTGATGGCAAAGCTCCTTCACTCGTTGAGAACCGGATCAGAACAAACAAACTGCAATCCTAATGATTACTGCAAATGACTGAGAAGATTACTACAGAGCTCAGTGGTTGCCTGCTTTTCTTTAATTATTATGGTTAAAGTCCTTCAATGCTACTATTTCGAAATTAATTTACCTTCTAGGCCAGAAAACTGTATACGGTGGTCTTCCATCTCTGTTTTTGACCACATTTACTTTAACTGCTATTTTAGTCTTGTGGGAGTCTATAAAGCTTTGGAAAACAATTAGGACAGAATAAAATGTCATCTTTTTTTGTACCATGATGTAAAATAGACTGGCAGACAACTTGAGCAAAAACAGCTCTGTTGGAGGAACTCTTTGCCTCCTACTTATGTGAGGAGGAAGGGAGCCTTCAGTTCATGTCTTTCAAAAGTAGTATCTAAGCTTCAGTTTCTCTCTTACATAGAAAAATAGTTTTGGAAAAAAAGTAATCAAGGTTAGCAAAAGAGCTGAGGTGTTGGTCTTCACATGGTTTTAAAATAATCTCCAATGGGTGGAAACATGATTGATGCTGAGCCATTAAATGTTTTTCTTGAAAACCAATCAGGATAAAGTTATTTCTGAAGTTACAGTTGTGCCTGCAAGATGGTATGTCTTTATAAATGCATTCTAGGTGGTGCACCTATGATTATTCAGCCCTTGGGGTGATTTCTGTTGCTTGTAACATGCCATTTGAACTGGTATTTTCCATGCCTACTGAATTCCTTATGTTTGATTTCTTTTCTAGCTAAAGCAATCTAGGGAATGAAATGAAGGAGACATGATAGTTGTGAAGGCTTAGTGGTTTGCACCTGTTCACCTTTATGTTTTAAAAAAAAAAAAAAAACAAAAAAAAAATGCAATTGAAAAATTATCGATAGGGTCCATTCTGTACCAAGAACAAGTGTTTCCATTCCCAACTGGGCCACTGTGGGACTAAAATGTTTGACAAAAATACACGGGCTTTGCTCAGATGGTCTTCTAAAAGGACTTCTGATATAATTATGATGAAGTGAGAATCAGTGACTGGTCTAGAGAAAGATTTTGTTCTGCAATTTAAACAGCAATATAATCCAGCCAAGTTCAATGCTCTTTAATTGGCTTTTGCAGGATGTCTCCCGTGCCAAGCTGGCAGCTATAATTCCAGACCCTGTGGTTGCGCCTTCCATCGTGCCTGTTCTCAAAGATGAAGTAGACAGAAAACCAGAATATCCAAAACCAGACACTCAACAAATGATTCCATTTCAGCCAAGACACTTAGCACGTAAGTCAGATGTTCAGTCCAAAGTGGCTATAGTTCACCTACAGGCAAGATGTTTACCTGTGCTCCTCTTACCAGGTAATTCCCCTGTGTTTAGTAAACCTAGTCATGGAGACTTTATAATCATCAGTGATCTCAACATATACTTAAGTTTCAGGCTGTTGTTTAATTGCATTGCTAAAGGCATAGATTTTTTGCTTAAAACTAAGGTCATATGAAGATGTAGTTTGGGAGCTTGCAAATGGTAAGAAGCTGTTATAGACGCTGCTCATAGATTTCAGATCACTGACTGAACGATACTCAGTTAGTAGAGGCAACAGTGACAGGTTGGTGATTATTTGCACCAAGGAATAATGCTGTTGAAGTAATCCAAGTCTAGCAGTCATACACTGGAGTCACACAGTTCTTTTTTCACAGCTCCAGGTTTACATCCTGTACCAGGTGGTGTATTTCCTGTTCCACCAGCAGCTGTAGTTCTAATGAAGCTCCTGCCCCCTCCTGTTTGTTTTCAGGTTTGTTTTAATTCATTCTGAAAAACTTCAAAAAGTTAGAAGCAATTCTGTTTTGACAGAAGCACAGTATGCACTCTAATTAATTTTCCAAACTTTTTTTTTCTTTTTTTTCCCAAATTAACAGGGTCCCTTCGTTCAAGTGGATGAACTCATGGAGATATTCAGAAGATGCAAATTGCCAGAAAGTAAGTAATTTGTTCACTCTGTGAGTCTGTAGTAGTGCCACATGTAATTTTTATTTTGCATATGTATATCACAGTCTAAAGCCCAGACCTCATTTACAAATGCAGACATGTAATGATTACTTAAGAATATGCTGTTGAATTGCCTATGTTTGTAGATTGGAATCTACATAGGAGATGTGTGCACGTGTAACTGGGGGGAGATCAACAAAAAGTAAAAAAGCTGAGAATCACCAGCTGCTACTTTAATAACAACATGCCTAATTATGCAATTTATGTGGTAAACATTAAAGAAATGATTTTCCAAATATACTTTAGAAGAAGCAAGGCATCATCTCTATTTGTATAAGAATTGTAACTCATTAAACTACAAATTTGCAGTATGTAAAGTCCATTGTTAGACATGACTCAGAATGCAGATTGTTGCAGTGTTTGATAACAATTCTTGAATTGTATTATCTTAGCTGCTACAAAAGAGGCAAATTCTAAAATATTAACAGAGTACAGATCCATACCCCAGCCTTCATGTAAACTACTACGGCAGAGGATTAATATGCAACTTCTCATCCGCCTCTGTTACTTTAAGAAACATGATCAGAGACAAAGCTAGGATTTAGTTTTGTTTAGAGGGAAAATAAAGCACCTTCTATTTAAATTATATGATATTTTTTCAGGCTTTCTGTCTCTGTTCATAAGCAGAAACTGACTTGCTAGGCTTCTTTCTGATGAATCATGAACTATGTGCATGGTTTCCCACTAAGCTTTCTTATTTTGTTAAGCTTAATAAAACTTAACTGACCTCAATACTTGCGTAAAGGGAAGTCTCAATTTGAACCAGCAGCATTTACTTTATAATTAGTGTTTGCCACAGATAAAAGGTTTAGAGAGTTGAGATTTAATTCTTCCTCCTAACTTCTGTAGAAGAAATAAAGTGAAAAATTCCTTGTGTTCCAGAAATCTCTACTATGTATCCATTTTGGTGTCCCTGTTTGAAGGCCTTTTTTTTTTTTAAACTTTTTTTCTTACTCCAAAAGCATACCTGAAATTCTATTCAACTTTGCTGAAATGCCTTTCTAATCAGAGAACTTAGCTGCACAAATTAAACTAGTTTTTCTTGTTTTACAGCTGTTGATGAAGCTGTAAGAATAATTACTGGAGGCCTACCTGAAATAACTGTGGAAGGCAACGGACCTGTGGAAAATAACGCTATGCTCAATAAGGCTGTCAAGAGACCAAATGAAGATTCTGATGACGATGAGGAGAAAGGATCAGTAGTTCCCCCCGTACATGACATTTACAGAGCACGACAACAAAAGAGAATCCGGTGAAACAAGTCTGCAATTCTACTGTGATAGACAAAGACTTGCATTGAGTTCATCTGTCTCTTAAAAGTCAAGCATTTAAAAGGGACAGCTGCAAACAAAAATAATCTTGAAAATGGTTTTGTTACTGTGGTGCCTCTTCTCCCATATTGTTCTTGAACCGAAAACAGACAGAACAATCTCAGAACGTGCGCGGAACAAAATTAGGTTTCCAAAAACAAAAGGGCAAAATGACTAAACTGCATTTTGTTCTTTCTTCAAGGATGTTCACACTGACCACTTGAAATCTTGTGGGTTTTCAACAGTTTTATTTTAAAAACTGGATGGCTTATAATTGTGAAGCATTTTTAATTCACACTTTCTGGAAAACAGTTGTTCTCAGTTTGTTCATGTAGTGTCCTGCCTTATTGTTCATTTTTATTTATGGCAGAATGTATGGAATCTGTTTTGTAGTTGAAAATGGAAAAAACACATTCCTTTAAAATAAAAGGATATCGATAACATCATGCCTTATTCTGGTTTTATTCAAATAGTTTTTTCTAAATATTCACTCTAAATTCTTATTAACATTGCTTTTGAAGTAAAACCATCACAGGAAACTGATGAGCCCATATATACTATAATTAATTTTTCTTTCATTTTTTTCTAGAAAATACAGCATAGTTTTGCTCTGAATGCCATGACTGGTTAAAGACGACAGCATAAGACAGTTGCAATACATGTTTCTAATGTGGATTGCCCAGGAGTAATAGTTAACACAGTCTGGCCCTGGATAAACTGCATTGGTCTTCTATTTAATGATGTACAAAGCTAAATGTTACTATATTAGCTACATAGTTTAACCTGTTGTTTTGAAACAAGCTAACAGAAAAAAAAAATGGTATATGAACTTTTGAAGCACTTCCTATGCATACTTTAGATTTTTAACTTGTATTTGACTAGTCAATACTGCACTCATAAGACCATAAGAACCCCTATGAATTATAGGGAAATAAGATATTCAGACAAGGAGAAAGACATTCCTACCACCAGGAGGACAGATGACTATAGGTCGGCACTGCTAGCTACCAGACTAAGAGGTAAAACAGCATACGTATAACTAAGTATTCACATACATTCACAATGTTAGCCTTTTTTTTTTTGTTTGTTCATTTAAAAAGAACACTTTGCCACTTAACAGTATCTGCACATGTCTTTCAAAGAGGACTTAGAGAAATGGGCTATCTATCTTTTAAAAAAAAAAAAGGGAGGGGGCAATAGCATGATTTACACGTGTGGGCATTTACTACAGTCCCTTTAGGCCTTTAAATTTTGTATTGGGTGACAGCAGCAAAGGCCTACAAAACCCAGCTACTGAGGAACTCATTTCCCACTGTGTGTAACATCCAAAGGTGAGGCAGAAGCCGGATGTGGGCCCTGCATTGTTTTCTCCATGAAGCCTTAGGATCAAACCCCTGCTGACAAAAGAGTTGGAATTTACTTACCACACTGACCCTGTGAGCAACATGCATGCATTACCAGTTGCACGGGCCATGCTTTGATGTCAGCGCAAGCAGGAGCTGGCACTCATGGATAGCTGGACACTGAGTTTCAGAACTGGAAGCAGCCATTGCCTAAATGAAGCCAGTATACTCTTACCCTTTCTGTCCCATTCATTCTGGCATCAGATACTTTTTCATAGGCTTTTTTCTGTTTTGCTTCCCTTTGCTGTTGTCCTTGCCACAGCCTTCAGACCACTCCCCCCCCCAATTATGTAGATTATAATAGTATAGTCAATTCACTTGGGGGGGGGGTGGTTAAAGGCAACTTCTAGGCAATGTGAAAATATAAAATAGCATCACCAATCAACCTCTGGAGCCCTCATTTTTGTTAAATGATGATGATGATGATGATCCTTTTTTTTTTTCCTTTTAAATCTTTCTAGCAAAAGTGGTTTGGGTAGCTCTTTTGTTACCCACACTGTTGAATTAGTTCTCTGGAGCTACAGGCTATATTTCAAGGTGGATCCTGCACTAATAACAAGGTGCAGTAAGCAGATGCAGCAATGCTGAAGACCTCTTTAGTGTCCCTTGTTAAACCAAACAGAATACAGTAGACCACATCAAATCCATACTCAGAACTTTTTTTCTGGTTAACGAATCAGCTCAATTTTGAGTTACCAAAGATTTAAAGAAAAACATTCAATTAATTTATTTATTATTTGAGTAAATTTAGCCAAAGGGAAAAAAAATCACTTGTCTGAACTGGCACTCTCTTACAAGACTTCTTTTTCTTGGGGGAAGGGGGTTTTGTAATGAATGAGAAAAGATTTGTTTTATAGTTGCATAGGCTAATATGGAGTAAAAATTCTATCTTCCTCCATGCTCACAGTTACTGCAGCTATATCCATGCTGACATTTAAAGGGAAACTAGAAAGGAAAGCATCAAAACTGATTCATAATCAAGTACTTCCTTCTAGAAGGTCTATTATTTTGACTGATGAGTTGTTCAATAAAATGAAGCTAGGAGTTAGCATAAAATGGCTTTTTAAAAAAAATTTTTTTTTTAAAGAGGATGACAATGTATTTACTTTGGTTTGGATACAGCTTCTACTATCTAGGACATGGTTTATGACTATGAACTCTGCTTTCAGAAAGTCATCACACTTTGACTATGGTAATACAGTGCGGTACTCAATAACTAGATAAGAATTTCAAATGTACCTACCTCCTAACTGAGTTTGAAATTACAGTATTAAGTTATGATATACTGTAATGTCAATCATATTGACATTATTGAAATTACAATACAAAGGCTGTAAGATCATTGAGATCTTCTGTGAACATCCATCTATACAACGTGTAGTTAATTAAATTCAAGATCTAAAAATATTTTTAAGTTTCAAGAACATCTCTACAAAGTGAAAAAAATCTACTGAAAATACTCCCTGTGTATTCAAATCAACATTACACCATTTATTTCCCCCTGTATGTTTAAAATCACTTACACTTTTGATAGTGCTCTGCACTTCCTGGAAATTTCTGAAGACATGACTGAATATGCAACCATCTCAAGTTGTAGTTTTAAAAAACAAGTAAAATTTTTCAGCCAAAAGAATCACACACTTTAAATCCACCTTCTGATAATAACAAATATTCACTTTAAAATTAGTATTTCACATAAAAAGGAGTAAACTACTAGCAAAAAAAAAAAGTAAGAAATGCCACTTTATCAAAACATTTTAGCTCTGCCCTTCTGAAGTCTTTACAAGAAATAAATACAGCTGCAATCTATAAGATTGCCACCTCTGTAAGTACTGTACATAGCAGAGGACAGTTACCCAATAACCAGAAAATTTGCTACAAAAATATATTGTTTTTTGTAACATCTGCAGGTAAACAGCAAAAAAATGCTATTAAAAATGCAGAAAAAAACTAGTAGTCTACCATACTATCTATAATGTTACAATAAAGTGCTCTTTGACTTTGTTTTCGCCTGTTAAAATTTCTCCTATCTAGAATTTTAGCTTACTAACTCAGTCTTTTACTAAAGAAAGATTTTTTTTTTTAAAGCCAAATTACCCTGCTGGGAAGGACCATTGCTAATCTGCTCTGGATTAAATAACTAACTTCATGGTAAATTAGAGAGTAAAATGCCCCAAAATGAGCCATTTAAAGACACCATTTGGTTGTCAAGCTTGTCCTACCTAGCATCTGCTCAAAATCTAAAAATTGCAGCCATAAGACTACCAAGACATCCCCCCCCCCCGGTTGCATACTTACATTAAAAATCCATCTCTTTTTCATCATTCATTTCAGAACCCCTTCTGCAACTCATGTATTTTTCTCATCAATCATCACTAGTGAATTAAAAGAACCAGTGCTTAAATGGGAAGCTGTTTTTCTAGACAAATATCGGTGCAATTTTTTAAAACAGCAGACAAAGTACCATATTGGTAGCATACAAACTGGTTTTATGATTCTTCTGACTTCCCTACCAGCTGAGATTCTTCCTTATTCAGTATTTTGCCAAGGACTGCATCATAGTAAGGGCTGAAGACCATTTTGTTGTAGTTGACAAGACGAACATACTTGACAGCAATCTCTTCCAGCTCTCTCTGGATAGGGCCTAATCCTCCAGGAAGAGCAGGTAATGATTTCTGATGACTAGAAGCAAGATAACTCTCCAAAAACTTTTGAATTCGAGAATCTGGAAAAATTGGATCAAGGGTTTTGATTCGTTTTTAAAAGAGGCAGTCAATCAGAAAGATCATAATCTCACATACACGAAAGCTGAACGTAGTGAACAAGTATTTAAAACGTTAAATGAGAAGAGCATGCATGACTCACCACCAACAGTTTTACAAATAGAAAAGAGTGGTCATTTGAGAACAGACCGTATTTTGTCAAAGCATACCTATTAGCTTGCATATGGTGTTACCAGGATCAGCCACTGCTTGGATTTGTCCTTTAAGCACAGTCTCTCTCTCAGCTGTGAATGGTGCAAACCCATGCTCAGAAAGGCAGCTATTAATTTCAGCACACACCTTTTCACTGATGGTAGCCAAAGATTCCCTTAGGTTAAAGGAGCTAGAGAAAGTGGAGTAGAACATTACTTAAGGATTTTAGTTTTTCACGTTTCTTCCACCTTTAAAAACAAAGCAACCAGTTAGAGTTGCCTCAGTTATCCGGTGTAATGGAAGAAGAGTAATCCGGATAAAGCAAGAATTATAAAGAACACAATGTATTTTATATATATGAAAAATAAAGTTAAGACACAAAACCAAGAGGTGGGATAGCATTAAAGATTTCCAACCTGAACAATCCATCCACGTGAGAGCTGACTTTCTGTCTATATAGACAGTTCAGACTAACGTAAAAAACAGCTGTCAACCCACAACGTGTACAGGAATCATTCCAAATTCCCAAGCACCTTACTGTACCACACTCAAACAACCCAAGGCAGGCTGGCCCAAACTGTGAGCATAGGTAGCTGCTTGCACTCCCAGGGCTCTAACTTCATATGCCAACCAGGCATCCTAAGGAACAAACACTTTGAAAAACAGAGCATGCACACGTTAGGAAAGAACAGAGCAAAAACAGACAGTTCTGTATCAGTAAGCTGGACAAAAAGTGTCAGCCTGGACTAATAAGAAACCCTTATCACTTCCTCTACGTTTCCTACAAGAGAAGCTTAAGCTGCAGTTTAAGATTACCTGCTAGGGTCAAAATGAAACTACACCTGCCTCTGTGTGAATAGGATTATTCAATACTCACGGAAGATGCATTCCTGTCAACAGCACCTTGATAATGGTTTTGATTTTCTCAGCAAATCCAGGTATACCAACAAGTGCTGAGCCTGCTGCGCTGAATGTGACCAGAAGGACAGTCCCAGTCAACAGGAGCTGTTCCAGCTCCAGCTGTATTTCCTGAAAGCGGGTCTGGTCCATTAACACAGTCTGCAAAGAAACGAGAAAGCCAGCAGAGGATAAATTCAGAATGCTGGGCTGTGAAGTGACACTGTGACATCAGATAAGATAATTTCGGTAATTCTGAAAACTGAATTCTTTCATAGCATTTACAAACAAAGAAAAAAAATCATTCTATTCACTAGACAGACAGACAAAACAGCCACACCAAAACCCACATGCTAGGCTGAGAGAAACCCAGCACATAATGCCCTGAAATAGCATGTCTGGAAGCCAGAAGAAATGCATCTTCCCTCAGACTTCTGCAGAAGGCTTATTACCAAGTCACTCTTAAACCTTAGTTTCCAGGGTGCTACAACAGTAAGCTTGCATTAAAAAGCACCTATAACACAATCCACTGAAATGTAGAGCTCCACCCACCAGTAACAGGATGCCCAGAGAGCTTGTGGAATCTCCATCCTTGGAGATATTCAAACCCGACTGGACACAGCCCTGAGCAACCTGCTGCAGCTGACCCTGCTTCGAGCAGGAGGCTGGACTAGCTGATCTCCAGAGTCCCTTCTGATCTGAATTATTCTGTGATTCAATCTTATGGATAAAAGAGATTACAACTATCATTTCTTCACTCCAAAATATTTCAGGAGGTTGAAAGAATGAAAACATACACGTTTATATACAATATACAATATTACACTGTAGATATAATGTAATATTCTGCTTTATGACATAAAACACAAGCCTACCTGATCAAATTAGACTAATTTGACTAATGCTCAGTGACCAGAAAGACCTCCTGAGAAAGGTACAAGAAATTCACTAAGGGACCATTACAGGGGTACCATATAAGGGACTTCCTGGGGGGAAAAAAAAATAAGTCTGCTGAAATAACAGCAGTTCAAACGAAGGTGGCTTTGCAGGAGCATACTGATAAATGTGTATTATGTTACTGTCTATTGTTTTATTCTCTCATGACCATTGCATTAATTCACGGAAAATATTCAACAATTAAAATGTTTAAAAGACGCCTTGTATTTCACCTTTCAATTACTAAGCTTATATTGTAAATCAGTTGTAATCCCCTGTCAAACCTCAAAATGCATGTTTTTCTTTTAAGAAACACTACTGGAGTTAAGATATAGCACAGGAGAGCAATGAAAGATATATTCACTATAATACCTGTTGAACAATTTGAACTTAAATAACTCAGTTATGAACAGTAGGTTTCTGAGTGCATACAGAAACCTCTCAAACACACCTGAAGGAACACAGAGATAATAAGTATTTCTGCTTTGTAGTTTCTAGAAGTATTTGTCAGAGAGTTATTTCCAGACACGCAAAAAGCTGTTTATTTTGCCCACCATGAGTTCCTGGCTTTTCTGCTCCATAACAATGAGTTAAGGACATCGAATTCACAAGGAAGCCCAGCTTTTACAGAGTATAACCCACCTTTATTTTCTCTCCCACAACCTGAAACGTACAAATTAGCCCCAATTCAAAGGGTTGTTGGAAAGATTTTGAACCAGAGGTTTAGCCTCCCAAGTACAAAGAGAAACAGCCACGTGACCATGAAGAGGCAAAGAACTATGTTATTCTATTCCAATTTTCAAACTTTGTTACCTATGCTGAGACAGTCCTATGAAAAACACCTACTAAAACCAGTTTGCACCTTCATTCACTACCAAAACAGCTGCTCATTTACCCAAGAACTCCCTGCAACATGTTTTCTTTTTTTACAGTTATTATTTCCCACATAAGATGATACAGGTTGCAAACTTGACAAAAACACTATTCATCTTCAAAGGAGAGCAGGGGGCTAGAGGCCCAAAGGAACTGTGGCCTCAATACCAGGCCCTACAGGCACACAGGAAGGCCTACCACACCCCAGGCGACTGGTGTGACTAGATAAGCTACAGGAGAGGAGATAAAGGCACAGAAAAGAGCAACTGCCTGCTCAACAGGTTAGCATCAGGAACAAAACAAAACTGGCTCCTCTCTTTCTCAACTAAGCCTCAGAGCTGAAAAAGAATTTACCCTATTAAGAGAGTTATGAGTAGCCTCAATCAAGAAATAAAGCTTTTAGTACTCTATTTGTGGCAAGGCTACAAATCCAAACAATTTTCATTATATCGCAGAAATATGGAAGTAGTAGAACACAGAAATCAATTTCTCTATTAAATACCTACTTCTGGAAAAGGTCTGCTCACATGATCCCACTTTAGGAGCTTTAGATATGCCTGGTTTTGTACAGCAGTGGAACACAATGCAGAAGCTCCACCAGCAGCACCATCATCACTGCAGTGGGAAAGCAACTTTTTACATCTCAACTTTACGAGGTCATCCGCTGCTTCTTGCAACCAGTCTGTGACAAGGTCTAACGAATCTGGAAGAGGAGGGGAAAAAAAGCCTTGGTAAGAGAATTTGTTTTCAAAGCTAGTTTTATCCAAAATTAATTTCCAAATAATCCCATTAAGTCACTGTTCCTAATACCCATGATATCAGTTATTGATATGCATTTTATTTACAGCATCAATCGGAACATCTAGAACAAAATCAAAAACCACAAAGATATAGGAAATCAGAGGCAAGATTATGCCTGCTAATTCTGCACTAAAAAAAAAAAAGACCCCCTCCACATAAACTAGCCCAAAGACCTATAGTTCTAAAGCATGCTGTATTGATTTATTATGTTGCACACTATTCAAACAAAACAAAACTCCAGCGTATTAAGTGCTGAAATGTTGTACCAGTAGATTTTTTCAAACCATAGTTTTGGGGCACAAGCTGTCATTATATATGCTATAATTCATGCAGTAAATAAAATCTAATTTATTTTTGTGATACATAAGCAGAGATGCACAGTTTAATGGGAAGTCAGAGGGGAAGAAAGAAAGAAACAAAATCATACTTGGCTGTTTCTCAAGAAACTCCTGAAACTTCTTTCTTTCATATTCAGCAGATTGCTGCATTAATTTTGGCCTAATGCTGCTGACAGCGAAGTTTGCCATATCCATTTTCATTAGGTCTAATACAGAGAAAATTGCTCTAAATAAACAAGCAGAAAAGGTTATTCAGGGTTGCAGATGTTTAAGAGGTACTATTTACAAGATTTATTACAAACTGCCCAAGGAAAGAGCAAAAGCATGCATGCAAAACATTAACAGTGTGCTTAACTTCGGAGCGTGAGTCAGAGAAAAAGAGTGAGCAAGCATGCACATGCATGCATGCACCTCTTTCAAGAAGGAAATAAAACTTCCTCTTCTGCAAGACAGCCTCCACCACTATGAGCTCCCTAGATTGTATTTCCCAGGATGTGCAATATCATATGTTGAATACATAAAAAGACATCTGTGTTTCAAAGCTAGCCTACTGCCTCCGTTGGCAGCCTACACAGCCAACCTCAGTGGAAATCGAAGAATCAGACAAAAAAAAGGGGCGGGGGGGGAAGAAATTAATTTCAAAGCAACCAAGTGTCAGCAATGTTTCTGTCAGGTCAACCTTACTCTTGGAAGCTTATCAAATTAGAAAATGTTTTGGCATAAAAAGATAAAATAACAAGGATAACAGGATTTCCTCTAACTACTGAAAGCTTAAGCTGCTTATTCAGAAAGATGGTGACAAAGCAGAGATCTCCTCTATGCTCTCAGATCCAGATTGCTCCCTTTTTGGGGGAAAGAACTGGCTGAGGAACAACAACTTTTTCCTATGTTCCTAATTGTGTCCAAGTTTAAAACCAACAGCAGAAGGTATTAAAAGAAAAAACAGAAAACAGCAAAAAAAGCAAATTAACCACTCATCTGCTATCTTAAGGCTTATATACATGGAAAATGCCCTTCAGTGACATGCAAGAGCCAGGCAAATACTCCAGTTCATCAGAACCAAGAGGGTCCTTGACTTCTGGAGCATCTCTCCCCTTCACACCCACAACTATATTCCCTTCCCTTTCACTCTCTTTTTCTAGGAGGATTAGCAAGTTACCCTGCTAGAGAACCACCTCTCAATCCCACACGTTCACATACACCTACCGTTATTTAAAGGACTCTCAACACAACTAATAAATATAATTTCAGTACCTGAACAGAGGAACTATTTCACAAATATCTTTCAGTTTCTTAATTTCTTCGTCTCGAGCTGGAGCACAAAGGGTCCCCATCATCCCAATAACAAATTCTACCAACTTAGAAATGTCCAGAGCCCCATTTTCTGCCTCTTGTTTTATCAAATCCAGATCAAGAACTTCTGTAATCTGGTTTCTTAGTCTAGTATGACCAGGCAACAAGAAAGATAAGAGAGTCTGAAATGGAAAGTTTTTAACAGCGCATTAGTTCTACATATCAAACACTATTAGACCACAGCAGTTATTGAACCACTTCTTATTTAAACTAACGGCCATTTACAAGTGGGATCTCAATTTTCTTAACAAAGCCATAGAGCCATTTACCAGTTCCAAATTCAAACGTTTCACCTCGTTCTGTATGATACTTAAGTTACCTGAGTGGTCAATGCTTGGTAGTACACATCATTTTTAAGATTGTTGTGCGTGGCTTTGTCAATCCATGTTGGGGCATCTCAGTGCTTCCATAAGTAATATTATTGTCATAATATGAAGCAAGTTTGGAAATATGAAACCAGTATTACTTACTTCTATTAATCTTAAATGATCTGGCTTTTTTTTTTTTCATTTAAATTTTTCCTCTGGGAGTATACAGTTCACTTATGTTCACAGAAAATAATTACAAGATCAAGAAAGTCCTTTATGAACAGTCACATTTCAAACACTTTTGCCTGTTCATATCAATACAGCTACACAAATTAAATAATTCACTTTACTATCACAGCATCTTACCTCTTTAATTTCTCCCAGTAGTTTAATTGCATGGTCATATGTTGGTGGATCTTCCTTTAGCTGGGCTTCCAGACAATCCCAGAAAGCTTTGTGAACAATATCTCTTACTTTTTTTTCCAAGCTGTGGGTGTAAACAACCAGTTAAAAAGGGCAATACTTGCCTCTGCAACCACCATTATGTAGTGACCTGCAGCTCCTTAAAGCAGGGTGTGTAATGAATATGTGAGGATTAACAGAGAAGAAATCTACCATTTTAAATTACTTGGGGAGGGGGGAAAAAAAAGGGAAAGGAAAACTAGATGTAGGATTTGGAATGGTTCATATCCCAATAAAGGGTTACATGCAAGCAAAGAAGGCTACCGATTAAATCCTTGAAAGCATCTGTCAAACACTACCTCAAGTAGACCACTGGAAGAAAAAAAAAAAAATCATAAAAATTATAGTTTCTCTTCAAAAGAATAGTATTGATGTTTCTTTGCCAAATTTCACTAAGTAATACAATTTTACCAAGTAAAATTTATTAAATAAAACTAAGAGAAATTAAGTAACTCCCCTGATGCAAAAGCTTCTGTTTTTCAACTTGAATTCTGAGATTACTGAGTTAAAGGCCCTGGTTCAGTTGGTATAAACAATAAATGAATTCCACTGTTCCCGTAACAAATTTCTAATTCAAAATATTGAAAATTACTCCATTTCAGTAGGCACGCTCCTGTTCACACCAGGTTTGAATTCAACACTGAAGAAAAAGCTTAAAATGCTCACTCACACACATGCGAAGCATGTCTGCACCAAATCCCATAGATTCCCAAGATTCTTACTCCAAGTGCCACTGAGGTTCAAGGATCTCCCAGAAGTACTTCAGTGCTGTGGTTCCCTGACAGTAGCCAATACATGCTCTACTGCAAGTGTATACAACTGCAAATACAATCACAACTGTTTTCTCCTTCAACCACTTGTCTTCATGTACGATCAAGTTGCAGGGGACCCTAAGCTATACTTTCCACCAAAAACTATTTAAACATAGAATGGGGAGAATGAGCTTTGCATGCCTCAGGTATAGTTTCTAAATGCTCACTTCAGGGCCAGCATTTGTGTAGGATAAAGAGCCAGCATCAGACCACCCATAAACTGTGCATGACCCAGAAACAAAGCACCAAAAAAGGACTGGACACTACTGCTTGGGTCTGCCTAGCAGGTGAGGCAGACACAGAGATGGCGATGAGAAGACAGATCAACTCATTGCTTGAGCTCTAAAACATGACAGTCTTGATGGACAACAGAGAGGTCTGTTATCATGTGCTAGCTCAGTTAAAAGCAAATTTGTCCTCAGCATTTAAGGGAGACGTGATTCTTTTGCCTACCAACTCAGGTGCTGAGGCAAGTGAACAAAGTACAAGGACCCTCCTCTGCTCTACTCAATCCTTATCAAAGTCAATTCCTGTTGGGACTGTGAGGCTCAGTTTCTTTAAGAGCACATGCACATTTTTGGGATTACTATTGTCTCATTATCTAGCAGTCCATAGCCCTTAATAATAATACCCCTGGTAAAATATGCTGGTGTCAGAGCTAGAAATACTGCCTTTTCAGTCAGGGACAATTCAAGTTGCAGGCGATATCCTCTCAATACTAATGCTAACAGGAACTACAATCACCTTCTTTTGGTGGAGACAGGCATCAGGTCTTTCCTCTTGGTCTGACCAATTTCTATACAGAACAACCACTGCCAGTTTTTTTACAGCCATCCATACCATATGCTCTGGGAGCACTCACGAAGTTAGTGTTCCAGCATGATATGCAGCTGTCTCCCAGAACGAGGCAAGAAAGAGCTTAGGAAAAGAAGCAGACTTTTACCCCAGCATTGCTCCAGTGCCTGTATACAGTAGGGACATACCTTAAACAAACAGCTCTCAAAGGGGTTGCCAGTTAGAGCTGAAATTAATACTAAAACAGCTTCTGGTTTTAATGGGAGGAAAAAAGTATACTGAGGAAAATTCATAGGCAGCTGCCTTGCTAATGTCCCTTAAGCTTCCCTTAAGGAAAAAACCATTAACAACCTCGAGTTCACGTCCTGTCTCAAAAACAGATATGAAATATGCTTTGAGCTATACTTGGGCAAACAAACATCCATAGCTAACCTGTTCAAACCTGGAGCAAAGACAAGAATGCTGAAATAGAGCCTGTTATTCAGGCACAGATGGTCTCTGGGGTCTCTCTCTCTCTCAAAAGCAGAGTACCTGTGACATCTACAGAAGAAAATCTGGTTCCAACTCGGACCAAGTCTCTTTCCTGAAATATGAAGTCACTTTCACAAATTAACCCAAGAAACACATTGTCAGACACATCGTCTCTCTATATCTGTGTACGGAAGGAAAAGGAACAGCAGATAAAGCACTGTTGATGCAAAACCCTGTTACAGGACTGGGCCAGCTACACTGGCCAGTATGTAACTAAACGTCAAATCCTCTCCTATTTTCCCTCCATCCTCCCTTACTCCAGAGTGGAATTACTGTAGGCAAGAGAGAGAAAGAAAGCCTTCAAACTTAAAAGGAACAAGGACTAACCTAAGAAAATGTAGCAATGTCTTCCTCAAAAAATTCCCACAGATCCTAGGCTCAAAAAAAGCTGGAATGATCACTTTCATCTTATTGCCAAAGGCAGTGAAAGCATATGAGATACTAAGAGCACTACCTGTTCCTGCAGATAGAAACCTGGACCCAGGTTTCCAGAGGATCCCAGGCTCAGGTTCCTGCGGCAAGGGGGAAATTGGCAAGAACTGCCCCACGACAGGGTCCACACCCACACATGCCCAAGGAATTACTCCAAGAGGCTCACTCTTCACATGCACACATTTCTGGGGAAGCAGAACTACACGCTTACCTTCTTCTTATGCTCCTTCCTAGGCATCTCCTATTGGGCACTGTCAGGTAGGATACTAGACAGAGCCTTTATATGATCCACTACAGCTGTTCTGCAGTTCCACAAATGAAAACTTTACTTAAGTATTCGATAACAGTCTTACCTGTGCTCTGGTAATTCAGCTGGTTTTATCTGAAAGTCTCCATTAACAACAATTTCATGTGCTAGTGCCATGTTGGTTACTCCTTTAGCTGTTTCCATTAGCTCTTCTACTGACACGAGCCGAGGAGGACTAGCTGTAACACAAATAAAACTGTCAGACAGTTATCAATATATATCTGTGGGAAAGAGCCCATGTAATACTTCTGGACGCTGAAGATTCTTCTCCTTTCCCCCCCCTCCTCTTCCAACAGTGGGCAGATGGGACAAGTTTGGAGTATTACAGAAAACAAAGGAGTGAATCCCAGTTAATGTTTTGGGCTCAGTATGTCGATTACTTCCAAGTTCCATCAAGCTCTTCATTAAAAACAAACACATAAAAAATACATTACTTCTTTAGGACTGCTTAATTGTATCTTTCTCCATACTGTAGAGAGAGATCATTAAAAACATCAACATGTCACTGTACTATTTCACCAGTTGTTGTGCACATGTTGCCATTTCAATTTTATATTTTTTCAAGGAAACGACTTTATAAAGCAGTCTGCAATTAACACTAAACAATACAACGTTAAGCAATAACACACTGGTGGCTAATTACTCCCAGTACTTCCAATGCAACTGGCTCTACTCCAAAATCTCTTTTTTTCCAGAGGTTATTGCCCAAGTGACAAAGGACATCAAGACCTAGTCCCAGCACTGATGTCCAAGGCTTCTTCCTCTGGCAGGAACAGTGGACAGGCAAGTAGCTTCAAAATGGACTCTGAGCACACAAGCGAATAGGAGGAAGCACGACACCTGAAAAAACAGGCCTGTTTCCATTAAGCGGGAGACAAAAGTAGTGACTGAATAGATAGGTAGAAATCTGGGACATAAAAAAGCAGTGGTTGGGACAGTGACAGTTTCAGAAAACTTAAACCTGGGAACTACTGCTCCTAATTGTTCCAGGTTACATGACATCTTCCTCCTGGGATGCTGTTGACATTACTGCGGTGCATAAAGTTGCACCAAAAGCAAGAAGACACAAGGACAGAGAAGGTGCCAAAGGTGCAACCTGTGCTGGTTAGGGGAGCAATCTTGTCCCCACTGAAGCCAGCTGAAACTTGTTGTCGCTGATTCTTTGTGCTAACAATTCCTCCTAGTTGCACTAGCATCAGTGCAAGCAGTGTGCGTGGAGGCCCTGCGATGTCATGCCAAAATTAAGAGAAGCACCACAGCTCTTCCCAGGGCCAGCTATTTTGAAAAAAAAGGAGAAGCTGGATCATTAGTGCCCTCAGGTGAGGCAGACAAGAATGGCCAAGGCCATCTCAACTCTTCAAGAAGACATATAGCTGAGCTGAAGGGGGAAAAAAGTCTAAACAGAATTGCCGTAATGTATTGCTTCCTCTTTCTGTAGTTCATTCCTTTCTACAGCAGGCCAAGCATAGGAGCAACACATTGGTTCCCAAAATGAAACAAACCAACCAGGAATCTTCATATGCTGGGTCCACTGAGATATGTTTTAGCCAGACTATTGTGACTGGCTCAACTGATAGTCCGGTTTGATTACACTTAGGCTAGTAACATAGAAAAGGCACTGCAAAAGTAAACGCCCATCACCCGCCATTTAAAGGCGTTCCAAATATATAACACATACGTGACAATTTTCTGTGAGTACCTCATTCTTCTCATGCAGTGCTTTTTAACCCTTATTTCCTTCTATTTAGGACTTAATCTTGCACAGAGATTATGAGAGCACAGCAAGGATTGATATTCTGAGCAGAACTTGCAGCATAATGAAGTTCACAGCTGAATGAGAATACTCTTGTCCAATTGCCAAATGACTTCACTCTAGCAGCAGAGGCAGTAAAAGCTAAGAGACTCTTTCATAAACCAAAGAATGCTCTTAAATCATGTTACTTAATTCTCATATTATTCCTGCCTCCTTCCAAGGAGGGAGGGCTTGAGACCAACAACTTCTCTGTGGTGCACTGCAATACAAGGCTGTGCTATGCATTTTACTTTCACGCGTCCAAACCTCTGTCCATATCTATACCACATTTGCTATCAGGCAAACAGCAACACAATAGAACATAATTCCCATATGGAACATTTCTGCATAGCATGACACTACGCATAACACTAAACCTCAAGTAATAATGAATGCTATTAGAAACTAAAAAGAATGTAGCAAATAAAGCATGTGACACGCTGAGAATCTCCGCAAAAATTTGGAATTAGTTATCTCAGTAATTCTGTCTCCTCAGACTGAATCCCTAAGTCAAGAAAAATTCCTCTTTGTTTTATCTATAGATTTGCCAGAAATAATCAACAGTCATCTCACATCCAGCTCCTCATGTTGGAAGCAGGATGACAAAGAAAAACATGCTGTAGGAACAAACTTACAACATGACAGCCCTGTGAACTGTTTGACACTAAAACTAGTATTAGGATTGAAAACATTCCCACATTGCCCAGTGGAAGCTTATTAAATTTCAGATTTAAAATAAGTCCACTCAACAGAACAGCAAGAAAAGAGGCACCATTAAACTTTTTATCTGTATTTAGGAAGGGAAGGAGAACATGAGAGGGAAGGAAGAGGATAGGACATATTTTGTTGATAATAGACTTTCCTATCCTGAAGTAGAAACAGAGACTGTAACAGTCCAGAAAGTTCAGCTGATAAAACAAAAGGTAACAAACAAACAGTAGCAACAACTCAGCTACTAGTACTGATTAGAATACTATAGTAGCAATTAGCTACACTATACTGGGGTAGTGCTTTTTCCTGTAAACACTCTCACAAAGTATCTAAGATATATAAGGCTCACGACAACACAGCTATTGTGAACAATGAGGTACTGAAATAAAATGGGAAAAAAACTGTAACGGGAAAGGGCTGTAATACCTTTGTATTACAAACAGCTTCAAAATAAAACAAATAATGAGGATATGTACAGCATTTAACTGTATAACGCTGTCGAACATATACAGAATGCTGTAAAAGCCCATGCTTGTTTCCATTGAAAAAATTACAGAAATCTACTTTTTTTTTTTTTTAAAGTGGGTTTGCTTTGCTTACACTTTGGTGTATCATCTCTGTGTGAAGCTGGAGCACTCTGTCGTATTCTTTTTCTGATAGACTGATCCACATTATCCACGCTCTTCTCCTCTTGGTCATCCTCCAAAACACTCAACTTCTCTTCAGCTGTATGCGGCTTGTCAGGATTTTGAGACATTTTCAGTTGTTACTTTTTAGGAAAAGAAAAAAAAAACGTAAAAGGGAATGAATAAGCATTTTCTGACATAGCTGAATGGGAAATCATCACCCTCATTTCTCTTGATTAAGAAAAAATTAGGAATAGAAGAAAATCTTACAAAGAATTGCATGATGTCATTCCCACGATGGTGGTGGACATGGATGCAATGACTCACTTCCCATCTTACACAAAAAAGAAGCTACCATTTACTTAAACTGTATTCCTAGTATGTTCTCAAAAATTGGAAACTGTTCCTTTACCATAACACACACCAGTGAGAAAGAAAAAGACATTTAAGTTTCTTTCTTAGCCTTGCTTATGAGGAGCAGTAAAAAACATGTTTTGAATAGTATTGTGGACATGCTTTACAAAAAGATTATGCCAAACAAAACATTTCCCCTCTATATAATGATAAAGTGTTCTGAACATAACGTACTTCTGACCTACGACCTGTCGCAACTGATCAGAACCCAAATTCTTCAATCTAGGCCATCCAAATAAATTAAGAAGCAGGAAAAGGACTAGAAAATAATTAATATAGAATCTTACTCCCATAACTTCCTTCCATGCAAGAAGCACAATTTATGCATAAAGATGTCAGGATGTTCACATGAGTTTAACATGAGTTTTTCAAATGTTAATTTACTAAATGTTAGATTTTAAATAATTTTTGTATTACATCACAAATACTTACAGTTTACCCAATGATATAAAAAATGGCCACTGGAAAAGCATGTCTCACTATTCATTATCTCATTATCTTCACCTATTTTATGTTCAGCTTCTTCTTTGAAGAACATAATTTGCATGCCTTGCCATTGAAAACTCTCTACCATACCGGAAGCTACTGTTCAAACTTCAGTTCTAAGAAACCCCATTAAAAACGACATGATATCTCTAAATCAATCAAATAACCAGAAGCAAACATTTCTGCAAAGAAGGAAGTCAGGAAGAGTCTGTCTTTCAAAAAAAAAAAAAAAATCCCCTGGAAAAACAACAACTTCCTCTTTCACCTACTATCCGAGGATTATTGCTTTCAAAATCTGAAAGAAACAAGTTCTCAGCAAGAGATATAGCTTGCAGAAGCACCTCACAGCTATTAAGAAAAACATACTTGCAGAGTCAAGGACTAAACTGAAAAGGAGGCAGCATAAACAAGCAACAGTGTAGAAATTTAGAACACAGCACTGAGATTTTTTGATACAATCACTGTAATGACTAACTCTGCTCCATCAGTATTTAAATTGCACGCTACCAAAGTCACTCGACAAGACAGCCAGGAGACTTAGCGGATATAAGAAATTATCATTCTGTTTTACAGCAATGACTCAGGATCATCATTGTGCTAGATACACATACATATGCAGCAACACACAGCACTTATCCAAAGCACTGTTATTTCTACTGTAGACAAGAAAATAAAGCGCAAAGAGCACAAAATATATCTTACATGAAAGCTAAGCCATCAGTGCATTCATATATTAGCCCCCACCTCTAGCTCACCCTTGTAAGTAATGCAAAGATAGCCTCCAGCTGGGTGTAACACAAAGCATCCAAACCAGCACACAGGTATGGTGGAGGAGGGAGACCAACAAAGTGCTCCCCGAGAAGAGGGAGCACAACCTCTAGACTGGAGGACAGAAGCTCTCAGTTACTGCAGATGCTCTAGCAGCAAGAGGACATGGAAATCTGATGATAAAGTAGCAGTTAGAAGATGAGAGCATAGCAACAGCTGAAATAGAAAATGAAAGATAGGTCTCGTTAAACAAACAGAGTAGGAACCTGCATTGTTTACTTTAGCTAAAATAAAAGCTTTATCATAAAGGTTTCCACATTCATTCAACCAGATTAGATTGCTGTTCTTCCTATATGTTCTCTTCTTCAAAGCATCTTCCCAAAAACAAGGATCAGAAGCACAAAGATAACTCAACTAAGACATACTTCAGTCTTTAATGCATATGATATTTCAAAGTATCATATGTGATATGTCTTGCACTCTCACAATGCATTTTAACCTCACAAGCCCTAGAAGGGTATAGAAATATTACTTATAGAAGGGAAACTGGGGTGGTAAGTTAGGTAGGTTGCTCAAGGATCCACAGAAAAGAAATGGAAGGGCCAAGAAGATAATCAGTCTCACGATTATTACGTCCCAGCTTTGCCCCCCAGACTGTAATTCCTACCGCACAGACTACACTCTAAAAGTATCACTTTCCATAAAATGGCAGATCAAGAGCTACAATCTCAAAAACAACAACTTAATTTAAATACTGTTTGTTAAGAATTTTCACATTTCGCATGTGAAAAGGAGTTAGAAGAACTTCTGGGCCATTCAACCAAAGGACTTTTCAGCAGATGAAGTAAACAGGCACACTAGTTGATTTAGTTTAGTTTGCAATAGTCTACTCTTTTCTGCTGGTTTGCTGCTATTGTTTGCCAGAACAGGTCTAGAACAAATCCTCTTTCTACTGGATTAAATAAGCTTGACAATACCTCTTTCAAAAACGCAGTCATCATCTTTCGCTTCACAGAAACAATTCTGAGTCTTTATAGACTAGAGTCTACTTCTTGGTACTTTCCTCTAACGTTTTTTAAATAAAAACAGAAGTGCAAGAGAAAATATAACAAAACAAAATAAAATTTAAGTAAAACATGTTGCACTGGTTCTTTCCATCAAAGGTCCTGAAATCACCTCACACAAACCAGCATTAAATGAACTTCATCATGCTTCTGTGAGGTACATACAAGATTAGTCTGGATACAAAGCCACCTAAAACGTAAGGAGGCTCAAGTTCACAAGAGAAACACCAATCTACTATGCTGGCATTAAAAATAAGGTGAAATCATCCAATGCAGCTCCATGATTCAAGTATAGCTCCACTGCTCTGTACACAATTAAAAAAAAAAAAAAAAAGAAGTCCACTTCTTTTAAACTTTTTCTCCAACACTGACCTCCCTCCCCTTCCTCAATTTCATCTGCCATGTCACAGCCTCCTTCCTCTTGTAATCCATTAAAAGGCGAGTCAGTTCTGTGTGGTGAAGCTAGAGCCTGCCCCTTCTCCCCCTCTTCCAAACGGGAAGGGAAGCTCGTAAACTACTGTTTTCACCCTTGAATTGTCTGCAGCCTGCTCCGGGTGAGATCCTCAAAGCCTGCTCTGGCAGCAGGGTCTACTAAAAGAGGGCGTACAAGACAGCACACGAGTAATTCAGTACCGCGTAGCAACAATATTACTACACCAACCCCTAACCCCCGCCCCGAGACTGAGGGGCATCAGTCTTACTGCAGTGCTTTCAGACTGATTCACGAGTTAAACACAGCGCTATCGCTGGTACCGCTCAAAAGGCGCTGCAAGCAGCGGCTGCAGCTCCAGGCACCGGAGATGCCACCGGGGCTCCTAAACGGCCCACGCAGAAAACCAGTACCCACGACGCAGCCTGGAAACGCTTTCGCAGGTGCT